TAGGCAGCACAACAGGATCTTGATCCACAGAAGAGTGTTTCTTTTTCCAGGATGTCCATAAATATATTGGAAGCAAGCCACACCCCTAGGGAAACTCCCTTTCAAAAGACTGGCTCCTCAAAACATGTACATCTGATCCTATCATGGGAATAACCCACATCACAGTTGCTTAAACCATTTGGCCTGGAGATCCTGGATTCGTCATTCGTTAGAGTCAACAGCCAGTACAATGCCTGCCAACCTTGAGCTCATCAGCCCCTACAGGTGCGTGAGTTGGGAAAAGCCTCCAGCTTCATGTTTGATACAAGAACTCGGGACTTGCCAGCTTCTGTAAGTGTATGAGCCATCTTCCTAAGATAAATTTCTCTTTCTCTATATGTATATATAAGCCTTACTAGTTTTGCTTCTCTAGAGAACCCAGCCTAACATAATATCTAAGTGTATATAATCCACCAGCCACTCCTCGGAAGGAAGGTTGGCAATCTACTTCTGTAGTGATACTGCCTCGGAAACCCAAGGGGGGGGCTTGGTATGAGTCAGGTCTGACTTGATGGCACATAGCAACAACAAATATACTACCATGTACAGTTATAAGCTTATTTAAAAAAAAATAAGATTATTTCTCACATATTCTATTTTAAAACTTCATTCATTTCACATATAAGTAAATTATCTTTCTGTATCAGTAGACACATATCTGCAATGTTATTTTTAAGGGTATGTAGGAGTACATTGCATGGATGTACCAGTTTATTTAATTAATCATCTTTTGTTTATTACTTGGATTATTTGTAATGTTGTACCATTACAAAAAGAGCTGCAATGAACACCACTGTAGCTAAATGTTGGAACATGCTTAATTATTTATTTCCTAAGGACAAATTTCTAGAAGTGGAATTGTTGGCTCAAGAGGCATTCATGTTTTTCAAGCTTTTGCTATATAGTTGTTAAAATGTCCACTACAAAGATTTTATTAATTTATACTCTGACCAACAAGATGAATGGGCTCATCTTTTCTGGCAGCCTCACCACATGAAGTGTTATACTTTTAATCTTAGAACTAGTGACTTGTGTACGTTAAGTTTATAACCTGGCCTTTAATAAATGATAGTTTTCCAGTTGATTTTCCTCACAACTAGCACATATCAACTATAAATGAAAAGTCAGGATAAAAATTTAGGAAAGAAAACCTTTCATAAATTATTCAAACTAAAAAAGAAAATCACAGCATAAAGTAAGTTATACTTATTTTTAGTAACAATAAAGAAGTACCCCTACTACCTTTATAAACTGCTAATGAAGAATGAGGGAGCTCTGGTAGCATAGTGGCTAAGACACTTGCCTGCTAACCAGACGGCTGGCGGTTCAAACCCACCAGCCACTC